TAGATGAAACCTTGAATTATAAAATTACTAGATGAAGACACAGGATGAAATCTGTGTTCTTACATTGGGTGAAGATGTTCAGGTTGGATAGTAAAAGCCTAATCTACGGAAATACTGATTTTAAAAAGTCCCATAGTTTCTTAAAACAAGTGATAAACAAAAGACAATCTAGAGGCTTGAACAAACTTGTGAAGAGTATATATCTGAAAGAGTACTTGAACTTGGACTCTATAAATATCTCTTTAGAGTCAATAGTAATTGAAGGATACAATTCAACTTAAAAATGGATATAGAAGATTTGACCAGACTCTTCACTCAAGATGGCATACATAGTCATAGCTGTTTTTAAGACAGTAAATATTTGGAGCCCATGGATTAGGCGCCTTGGCTCCTGCTGCCTTTGAATTCCAGGACTGCTCTATATTTTGATTCCCCTTAATATGGGGAAGCAATTGTTCTGATCTGCTTACTATTAACTAGATCATAGATAAGTTCAATTCCCAGAAAGCAAGAGGGTAAGCACGGAGGGTCAGCATCTACAGGAGAAACAACTGGCTGGTCCGGCAACACTAGGTCTAAGAAAAGCCCATGGCTATTGTGTACTGCGAAAAGAACATGGGGTTGTACTCCAAAAGTGACTCCCTGCACTCAACAGGAGAGAGGTAGAGAAGAAATCCAGCATAACAGCTGCCATAATTGAGATAATTGCATCAGGAGCCATTTTGGCAAGGGATTAATTTTTTTTATATTTTAAATTGAGTTTATTGGTACATTCTAGGTAGACAGTACAGTTACATTCGTTACTGGGATCTTGTACCTTTACATGCCAGGTCTTGATTCTCATTTTTTAAGGGATTAATTGTTAAAGACTGAGTGACTACAGAATGACATTACTTCAGGGATTTTTGTGTTATCCTACCACAGTGACTGGATGAGAGAGAGCTACAAGAGACAGTTGTGGAGAGGGTGTGGGCGAGACATAGCTCTCATTGGAAGTTTAAACTCAGACTAACAAGGACATGGAGCCCTGCCCTCTGTGGTGAGAAGTGAGGCCAATAGAGGCAAAAACTGGTCATCAGCAGCAGGACAAGATGAGGTGGGTGTGCTGGGTGGGTGGGGTTCCCGTGGGTATTTTATTTGCACTGAGGGAGTGGCAACTTCCTCCCCAGAGGCCTCTGTCCCTGAGTATTGGAGTGTGGGTCTTTCTTTCAGGGACTCTTGGCACTTTTCCTCTGCCTCTGTCTCTAGATTATGCTCCCTCATTTGACTTTGAATTTTTATCTTTGATTTCTTCCTATTTGTGTCTCTGCCTCTACCTCTCAGCATATCTTTAGTCTCTCTCTCTCTCTCTCTCTCTCTCTCTATCTCTTTCTCTCTCTCTCTCTCTCTCTCTCTTTCTACTCCAGAGGGTGTTGGGTTAAACATTTTTACTTTTTATTTTACTGGTACATTTTAGATATACACAATGATAGCGTTCACCACAGGGAACCTGTGTCTGCTTCTTCTTTCCTTCCCGTTAGTATAGTTTTGCAATCACAACATATTTATTATAGGGATCCTGAAGTTTCTTCAGAAATCTTTGATTTGAACCTAGATTTTTATGAACTTTATCCTTGAAAAAGATAATGCACACACTTAAATTGTTTCCAAACCTACATAAAAGTTTTCTAATAGCTGAATTACATATCAATATTCATTTTTATGTATTTATTAATTTTTTTACATATCAATTTTTAAACATTAAATTAAATTAAATTTCAAATTTGATTGAGCTTGGCATGGTGCACATATCTGTGATCCCAGCACGTCAGGAGACTCTAGAGAGAGGATCACCATGAGTTCAAGGCCAACCTGAACTACATAGTGAGACCCTGTCTCAAAACAAAACAGGATAGCAGAAAACAAAACATACGTGCTCACACAAATACATAACAAAAGGTTCCACAGGACACAGCACAAGTATTTAATGGACACATGTGGCCATTGGTTAGCATATCAGACAAGTACATCTCTATCTGTGACCTTGGGCGTGACTCTCAACTCTCTGGGCTTCACTGTCTCCATTTAGAAAATGGGGGAGAATACTAACAGCTACTTCAAAGTGTGAGGAGTTTGTGTAAAGTGCTGCATTCTTCTCACCAGGAAGTCTCAGGCTGGAATAAAGATCCACTCTCATTGTCAGATGTGCACAAACAGGTGGGGTTTGGTCCTGGGATCAGGAAGGTCTGTGATGACATCCATCCTAGGCCAGAGAATAGCATGTTCCAACTCTAAACGATTGTGATTCTATGTTGCTCCAGTGGGATCAATGGAGTATGACTCAACCATTCAGGTCAGAGTTCTGGGTTAAGCAAGAGTTTGATTAATGTGTCCCGTATCCTCCCATACCTGACCTCATTGCCTTTAAAGAGAGGGAGTTATGCTTAAAAGAAGAGAGCTCAAAAAATGAAAGAGATGTCAAATCTAGTATGGGGGTACACACCAGTAATCCCAGCACATTGGGTGGCTGAGTAGGAGAATTGCAAATTCAATCCCAGCCTGGGCCAATTTGTAACCTAGCAAGACCCTGCAGCAAAAGAAGAGATTAAAAAAAGGCCTGAGAATATAGCTCATTGAAAAGGTCCTGGACTCAATCCCTATTACAAAATTTAAAAAAGCAAGTAAAAGGTGGAAATCCCAGCCAGACCAATACAGATGGACATGGGAACTGTCATTCGACCTTGTACCAGAAATGGCCTGCTGCTCCCAGGAGGTCTGTTGGTGCAGGCTCACAATGAGTGTAGAGCAAGACCAGAGCTCAAGGGACTTCAATAAAATCAGATCCCATTTGCTGCGTTGTAAATGTCCTCTCCAAAGCTCATGTTGACTTTTAATTGCCTTCATACTGTTTTAAGACATTGCAAGTACCGTGGTAGCTTGGTTCATGAACTTAATTATTTTTCGATTTTGGAAAAGATGGTCATGTTTCTGTTTGTGTGGGAAAGATGGCCATCATTGTGTTTGTCACCTGATGCAGAGATGTTAAACAAAAACAAATTTTGCCAAACACTTCTGGTTTTGACCCAAGTTGCAAAGAAAAGCAAATGGTACTTTTGTGAGCGCACATACCTTTATACCCAGTCTATCTACAGTGTTTCCTCCTTCTCCATGGGGGGGTTACATTCTGAGATCTTCAGTGGAATTGTAAAAGGTTGGAGAATACTGAACACTGTGTAATATACATATATCTATATCTATATCTATATATCTATATCTATATATATATATCACTGTACAATAAAGTTTAACTTATACATTAAACACATCAAGAGAATAATAGAAATACTTAAAATAGAAGAGTTACATCATAATAATGTACTAAGTTATATGAGTGGTCTCTCAAAATAACTATTGTTCTCTGCTTTCCTTATCTTCTTCTCCCTGGGATGATGTGGGATGGTACAATGCCCATGTGATCAGTTGAGGTGAGGTGAATGTTACACAAATTGTGATGCAACCTTGGGCTCCTATTGACGTGACCATACACCAGAGAAGTGATTAGCTGCCTTGGGTGATCCCAGAGTGTTGAGCCATGAAGATGTTGATGATCATACTTCGGGAGTAGAAAATGCTAGTGATTGGCCATCCTTGATAGTTCAAAATTCTTGTTAATGGAAAAATCCTTTGGAAGAACATTGCAATCAATGGTTGTCTCTTCATTTTTAACTAACTGTAGTATAGCTATGGATGGTGCCATCCTTTGGTGGCTGCCTGGGAGGCATTAATGCTGCAGTCCATGGCATCCTATTCCATCATTTTGTCCTTTAATACCTGTGCACTTTGCAACACTTCTGCAAATTGCAGTCAAAGCCCTTTTGCTGGTTATACTTCAGTTTCTTCTCTGTCTTCCTCTTCCTCTGTAGTTGATTTAAGATTTTTCCAGTTCTTTGTTTCTCAACACTTCTTGATGGTCTTCAGTATGTCTTTCTACTTCTTCATTAAGCACATGGGCAATTCCATGCCAAATGAACTTCAGTTCATTGTGAATCACCCAGCCTCTTATATTGTGTTATAGCAGAAAAAAGACTAAGACACAGTGGGCTTCAGGGTCTAAAGGGAAACAGACATTGAGGGGAGAAAGAGAGAAAGAGAGAGAGAGACACACACAGAGAGACAGAGAGAGAGAGAGAGAGAGAGAGCGAGAGAGCGAGAGAGAGAATTATTCCACCATGCACATAGTCAGAGGCCTGGTTGGAACCACCTGGCAAAGACCAAGAGGATCCATTTTTGCCTCTACTCCTGTGTCTCTTCAGCCTTGCATCTCTTGTGCTCCTGTGTTTCCATATCATTCCTGCTTGTGGCTACCACAGAGCAGAGTGAGGGGGACACAGGAGGGGTGGATCCTGGATCTCAGCAGGATTTACAAAGACTGGCTGGAGTTGCACACATACACCAGCATATGCAAACTGACCAACAGGCACAGAAGTCCCCACCACCTCCACTACTCAAATGCAAACACACCTTCACCTGAGAAAGTAAATCAATACACAGATGCTCCCACACATGCAAGAATGTACACAGCAGCACAGATGGACTGATACATGGAAACACATAAGAACACATTCAGAATGACATATAAAAGGGGCCCTCATACATAAAAATATATAAGCATACACAGCCTGAAGCAGGCCCAGACAGACTAAACTAGAGACAAAAGCACACATACGATATCGAAAATACGTGAACCTGAGTGCACAAACACACACTTGATCACCATGGCATCTCTTTCACAGTGTCTCTGCAGAGTGTAAGGAGGGCCTAAAGGATGGAAGCGAGTTGCTTACTGGGGCTGCCCAAACAGGAAGTGTGGGTGCCTGGTAACTCTCTTCTGAGCTCACACTCCTGGATAAAGATGAGAGAGGAGGAGGGGCATGGATGCAGTTGCATAACTGGGCAAGGACACAGGCTTAAAAGGTTCAGCTCCGGGCTGCAGAGGGATGGACAGCAGTCACAGCAGGACCATGGAGCTCAGCGTCCTCTTGCTCCTTGCTGTCCTCCTAGGCCTCTTGGTTCTCCTGTTCAGGGGCCACCCAAAGGCCCATGGCCGCCTCCCACCAGGTCCACGTCCTCTGCCCTTCCTGGGCAACCTTCTCCAGATGGACAGGAAAGGCCTGCTCAAATCCATCCTGCAGGTGAGACACAGAAGGACAGGGCCCATGGTGGATTGGAAGAGCAAAGTCTCTTTTCTGTCTCAGGGTGGGTGCGGAAGATCAGTGTTTAAAGGAGGTGACCCTGACTTCTGGTGGATAGTGGTCAGATTGAGATAGGTATCTCACCTCGGATGGAACTGTGTCGGGCACTGTCCTTGCAGGGATGAGAAGGCATACAGAACTGTCTGGTGTGAGCCCCAGGTGTAGGTTTCATTCTCCTCTGCCCCATCCTAGGTAAATGCCTAGAAGAGAGAGCAAAAGGGCAGGAGCACCAGTCAAACAGGCTTTACCTCTGCGAGCAGGAGAACAAAGATTGGCCTCAGTCAGTTGGAGGAGAAACAGGAGGAAAGGGGAGAAAATAAATGCAACAAGGAGTGCTCATTGGGGAGGGGAGAGCAGGGCAAAGTAAACAGGACCCAGATGTAATGTGTGTGTGGGTGCGCCAGTTCTCATGATTAATACATTCATTATGTATCAGGAAGATATAGTAGGGCAGAATGTGGCGCTGCACATTTGTAATCACAGCATTTAGAAGGGTGAGGCAGGAGGTTCCCCTTGAGTTTGAGGGCAGCTTGAACTAAACAATGAGTCCATGTCTCCAAAATAAAATACTAATAATGGTGAAAAATCTTGATTTCTTCATTGATAGAATTCATTGACAGAATTAAAAATTGCAATAGTAAATGCTAATACAAAATTCTAATAGAAAATTCTAATAAAAATTCTAATGAGGGCAGGAGATTTAGCTCAGTGGTTCTGCTGACTGCCTTGTCAGTGCAAGGACCCTTGATACCCCATACAAAAAACAAAAACAAAAACAAAACAAAACAAAATGTAAGTTAAAAAATAATGAATAACAAATTCATTGACAGAATAGTATCAGGCTCTTTCATTACATGGTAAATATTCAATATGAAAATTTTTTATTATAGTTGAGCAAATTCAGATCATAATAAAAGCATATAAATGCCAAAAAAAAAAACATGGTAAATATTCAATATGAAAATTTTTTATTATAGTTGAGCAAATTCAGATCATAATAAAAGCATATAAATGCCAAAAAAAAAAAAAACAAAGAGAGAGGAGGAGGTCTTACGAATCATAAATGGAATTCTGCAATTGCTAGGCTCTCTGCTACTGATTCACATGCATGATCTCGGGTTTCATGATCGTTTCTTTGTTTATTCACAACAGTGGGGATGGACCCCTTGGCCTGTTCCCTGAGCTACATCTGCCATCCTTTTCCATTCTGAGATAGAATGTTGGGACATTGCCTAGGCTGGCCTTGAATTTTCAATTCACCTGGTCTCAGCCTTGAGAGTGGCCAGGATTGCAGGCTCTGCTACCACCCCAGACTTTTCATCCACTTAACTATTAACAGTTCATCAGCATTGACTGTGGTGGGAGAGGGGGAGCACTGACAACAGCATCCCACTCCTTTCCCTCTTCTCCTCGTTGTGGAGACCCCACTCGGGAACCCTGGCCTTCTTAGCCCTTTGTTCTCAACAGTTTTCTTCCTCATTAAATATTTATTTATTGATAATGTCTTTTTATTTTTAGTTTTTGGTGACAGTGTTGCTGCTGCGGACGGGACACTTGGTGGTAGTGAACACAAGACAAGACATAGAAGTTTTTAAAAAAAATTCATTAACTTTATTGATATGGTTTAGGGATACATTATGAGCGCATTCGTCATTGGGAATTTGTATCTGTACACGATATATGTTAAGATTATTTGACCACCCAGAAAAGATCGGTGTAAGAAGTGGGACTTAGACAGACCCTGAAAGACTAGGAGACTGAGGATGTGTGGGGAGAAGAATCCATTCTTGATGTGTGTTGGGGCAAAGGTGAGGAAAGAAGCCCAGGTGAATGGGAGAGCACAGCATGCACAGCAGTGAGGACACAGGCACTGCATTGTGATAGCAACATGAGGAACTGGCGGAAGTGAAGGGGGGCAGTAAATAATAATGTGGTCCACCTGGGTAGGCAAACTAGAGTCTCATAGCAACTTACTCTGTTTTGTGTTGATATGAGAAAATAATCGAGGCTGGGATTTACAAAGTAAAGACTTTTTTTTAACTCACAGTTTTAGAGGCTGACAGTTCAATACCAGGCAGCACTAGCTGTTCAGCCTCTGGTGACAGCGTCCTTAGCTGTGGTGCCTCATGGTTGAAGAGGAGAACGGGAATCTACAGCATGACAATGTTCCAAGCCTGTGAGGTGACACTGCTTTTTAACAACTTGGTTTCTCAAGAAGTAACTCATTCTGAAAGAGCAGCATTCATCTGTTTTCAGGGCTGTCTAATTACCTCCAATAGACCCTACCTTTCAAAGGCTCGACCTCCTCTCAACATGGCCATGTAGGGAACCAAGCCCCTAACATATAAACCCATGGGGGATATACTCAAGCCATATAAAACCATGCACATGAATCAGGAAAGAAGATACACCTAACTGCTTCAGACAGAAGTCTGGATCTAAGCTTGGTGATCTTCTGAAACAATCAGCATAGATCTCTCAGGCACACCATGTGTGAAGCCTGAATCTTGGCTTAAACAGAGGTGTTGCTGGGCACTTCAGCTTTCTGAGGTCCAGCTCAATTCCAAGCTGTTTGCCTCACCAGTCTGGGGTGTGCAGACCTGTGTCTTAGAATATTCTCTTGATGTTTTAGTTTTTGGCTTAGGAAGCCCAGGCCTGCTCTCCCAGGCAGCTGTGATGTGTGGAAGGTGGCTGTGTGAACATTTGTCCAAATGTGGGTATTACCAAGATTAAGAATGCAGCACCAGTTAAAAGTCAAAGGTTTGGAAGTTCCCCGTAGAGTTGCCAGTGCGAGTCTGCATTAGAAGACTGAAGAAACTGGAGATAGATTCCAAGGCAATGGCTAAGACTGGAGGTCTTCTGAAAAAGGGATCCTCTTTTCTTCTTTCTCTTTTAGTTTTGCCCATGCTACAAGCCATTGGCTGATGCAACCATATACGGAGTGTGTCTTCCTTCTTTAATTTGTTGGCCTATATGTCAATCATACATGGACACACCCATAACTATGTTTTCCTAATCAGCTAGGCAGTTCCTACTGAATTCAGTTGACTGATGTACCATAATGAAAGTTAAGTAGGTTGAAATCCCATCGGTCTAGGGCACAAGAACAAAGATAGCCTACAGTTCCTAACAGCTCCTCAGTTCTGTATTTTACCATCAACTTTCTACAATTTCATAAAAATGCTTTAAAATTTCTATTCTAGGTACTTTATGGATTGTGCCTTAGATAGTGTTCAGCCCCCCTGCCTCATTGGTGAGGTTTCTTACATATCCAGATAGGAATCATTCCCCCTGAGATGTAGTTCTTGATAGTGAGACAAAATCAGGTCCCCACTATATTCTTTTGTTTGGGAAACAAAGTCTCCCTATGTAGCCCAGGATGGGCTTGAACTCCTAGCAATGTCCAGGCCCTTGTGAACTTGGACCTGAAGGTATAAAAAAGAAAAAAACTAAGTTCTTTGTAAATTACTCCCTCTCTGGTATTTTGTGAGGTACTTGAACTTTATATGAAAGAATCAGATGTAAACCAAACTTACTTTTGTGTCAGTTTGCTTCCACTCAACATTATGTCTGTGGATTTCATCTAGAGTATTGGTTAGAGCTCTAGTAGTCTTCTTTTCATTGTTGCATAATATGCCATTGTGAAACTTTCATTATTTATTCCACATGTTGATGATCATTTTACTAAGAAGGCTTATGTGAATATTTTTTCCCCCTTGGTGAATGAGTACACATTTTTGTCTAACCAGTATTTGGTGGTGGAGTCACTGAGTATGCGTGTGTTTAGTTTCATTAATACAGCTGACTTGTATATTTGTGGGTTCTTAGCTCTGAATTGAAAATACTTGGAAAAATTATGCTTGTATTGAAATTTTACAGACAAATATCTTGCCATTAATCCCTAAAAAATATAGTAGAACAACATCTTATATAGCATTCCTATTGTATTGGATAAAAGTAATCTAGAGATGGTTTCAAGCATGTAGGAGGATCGGCTATATACAAATACTGCCAAGAATTTTAGTATCTGGGAGAGACCTGGGATCCATTCCTTACAAATTCCGAGGTGTGACTCTTCTGTCTGGCTATTTCTCAAGGGGCTGTACTGAAATGATTTTTCAAATTTCGTGATCATTTTTAGACAGCAGGAATTTTCCTTTGCCCTCTGTGAAGAGGATGAGTCAGTGTTGTTCATCTAGGAAATTATTTATGATTACAATGCAGGTAGAAGTTAGGGCACCAAGGATTCTTTTGCTTGAGATACCAGGGAGATGTGCCGCAACTCCAGAGGTGAAGATGAGATTAGTGATATTCAACCAACTGTACCTCTTAGGCCCCCAACAGCTGGAAAAAGAGCCTGGTTGAGTCCCAGGTTAAACCTTTAGGTCCTGGGAAAAGAATCAAGGAATCTGAGGAGCAACCAAGGGTCCTGTGGGCGGCGACTAATTATTAATGTGTATTTAAGCACTTTAGTGATTTAACATCTAGTTAAATGGATTAAGAACAAGCATTTTAATGGTTTAAGCAGTTTACTCTTTTAACAATGACGAATAGTGATTCTGGAATGGGTATGCTTGGTAGATCCGGGAGAAATATGGAGATATCTTCACCGTGTACCTGGGGCAAAGGCCCGTGGTCATGCTGTGTGGGACAGAGACCATACGGGAGGCCCTTGTGAACCACGCTGAGGCTTTCTCTGGTCGGGGGACTATTGCTGTCACAGAAGATTTCATCCAGGGATACGGTGAGGACCTCAGAGGCCCTGGGATGGGACAGGATGGAGGATGAGACATGGAGAAGTTGAGTGTGAGAGGGAAGGAAAATGTTGGGGAGGGACCTGACTTTCTTGAAATTCCCGTGCATCCTTTGTCTTCCCTACAACCATTAGGTCTGATCATGGCAAATGGGGAACGCTGGAAGGCCCTTCGGAAATTCTCCTTGGCCACCATGAGGGACTTTGGGATGGGAAAGAGGAGCGTGGAGGAGAGGATTCAGGATGAGGCTCAATGTCTGGTGGAGGAGCTGCGGAAATCCCAGGGTACCTTTTGTGGGGTGGGGTAGGTTGGAAACAATGAAAAACATGCAGACAGAGGGGCAAGGTGCACAGCAACAGAAACTCAGAGAGGTACACAAAGGGCAGAGAAGGGTAGAAATAGAGACAGACAGAGCACTAGAGACGGAGAGAGATGGAGTAGATATGAACTGAGACAAGGAGCAGAGCAATACAGGTAGCCAGGGAAGGAACCGTGAAGTTTACAATGTCCAAAAAACTCAGAGAAAGAGGCTGAGTAACTGCATGCTATTCATTTGGGTCCAGATAAATCAATTTGTAGGTTAAATGTACGTGTCAAAAGAAAAAACAAGCCTCATATAAAAGATAGCAAAGGAGAAAGAAGGAATAGCAGAATTGGTGAAAATAGTGAACTCTGTTTGCCTTCCCTCAGTGAAGTGCTGATGAGCAGGCAGTGAGGAAAGAGGCAGGTGGGTGCTCTGC